ATGTTACTATGAGCTTCTGTATACAAACCACATTTTCAGAAAGATTCTAAAAATACCTCCCAAAACCCTACAAACCTAAATCTGTTCCAAAACACACACAATATAAACAAGACCTGCAACCTAAACGGTCCTTACAGTAGTATGCTCCTTAATTAGAAGGTTAGCTGGTAACTGCTTTGTGCGTGAAGTAAACATGGGCTGTGGCTTACTTGCCAAAGCAAGAAATGCTCAAGAAGATCCAATATCAACTCAAGCTGATCTAAAATTCACCACAAAAACCACAAAACTACTGAACATAACAAAGTCCCCATTTATACAAATTAAAACTCAATTCTAGAGAAATGTTTTCCGGTCAATATGTTTTTGGCATAACAATGCTGGACCTCTATTGCCCATAAATGATGCCAATCAAGAGTGAACCCACCAGGTGTAAATTTCTAAATCTAAACAGAAGCCAATTGGCTCGGGTTCAACCTCAGAGTGGCCCAGTCTATGAGAAGTGCAAAGATATACATTCTATTTTTAAAAGAAAGACCAGCTCAAGCATTACTTGTAACTGATGACTGTCTTCTGACTTGTTTATGGTCATCAAGTGATGATATACAGTATATATATGGAAAGGAAAGAATAACCAAAAAAACTGAAGAGTCAAAGTTCCCCTTGTTATCTAAGTGATTTGTTGTATTTTTCTGCCATGAGTCACTTTTAATTATTCTTGAGTTAATTTTCTGACATGGACATAAATCAACTCAGTGTAGGTCCATGACGTCTAATCTGCTGACTACACAGTTTAGGCAAAATTCCCAAGACCCATGCGGGAATTTGCCTTGAACTTTTATCCAAACCAGACATCTCTACACAGAGGCACTGGCTGAGTGCTATTTAGAGGCTGCCTGGGAGGGAGGCTCTGTTCTCTGGAACAGAACACACAGTTCAACCTCAAGTCAAACAAAGCAAAACATCAACCTAAACAACCAAGTCTGGCAACACTGAAAGGAAAAGAGCAAACTTTTTCCAAACCATACATGACATGCTGCTGCTGGGGGACTTGACTAGCTATACAACATAGCATGATAGCATGCGTATATTCACACAAGTAGAATTCCCAGCACAGGTGGCCAGCCAGGCTCAGATGATAAGCGGTATTGTCAAGTGAGGCTTGGCCTTCACACCAAAGCTTGGCTTTTCAGTCGCTTCAACTAAAAATATTTGGGTGTTTTCGCAAGTTCTGGATGAGTGAGCAATGTGTGTTTCTCAGGGCGCAAGCTTAAGAAAACACACACAAACCAGAGGTTTTCACAGAACTGAGTACTGTGTAGCTCTAGAGTCAGATTCATCACAGAACCAGTGCACATCCATCTGCACATCCATGTGCAGATGGATGTGCACACTTTTTCTGGATCCTGGAACTGGTACGTAGCACAGCATATGGATGCCTGGTGCTCTCTTCATCCCTGGGTGAAGTGGTTCATTCCCTTTCAGGAAAAACATGCATGCACGCACGCACGCACATATGCACACACTCATAAAGTGAGGGGAAAAGGAGCAAAAGGAAGCTCTCCTTTTCTGGCCACACCCTTTACAAATAACAATCTGCACATGCCATCTCCGGACCGAGATGTCTCGCTGGAGGGAAAACAAACACACAGAAAATGGGATAGACTTTGGAGAAACAGGGCCAGTTGCTGGTCTGGTTGCTCTGACATCTGTTTGCCAAAGCTACCGTTCACACACCACAGACACTAATTGAAAAGGAATGGCTATAAAAAAATAGTGCTGACCACAACGGAACACGAACACTCTCAGACTTTCTCACCTTTTTAAACCATAACATGCCAGTGCCTACAATATACAAATCAACACGGAGCAGTCACTGTAGACCACTCTTTTGTCAGTCTTTAAGCAAACTGTGCAGACCGCTCAAGGCGGTGGCCTTAAAAAGGAGACCATTTTTTGTTTTAGCCAGCAGGAGAGGAAAAGACATCCACACCATGTCCTTAAAGTTCTAAAAATATTTACTTTACAGGTCATGACTGGAACTGCGAGAACACTATACAAGGACTGGCTGTGAAGTGTGATTTATCAACTCCCACAGGAGACAGTTGACCTCGCTGCATGTACTGTAAATAAGAAAAGGGTGCTACACAATGGGGGAGAAAACAACTATTTAATGTGCAGTGTTTTTGACTGGGACTGCCAAGCCCTTCCCGCTTCATTAAATTATGGGATGTATGATGATTGAATGGTTCACTCTGTCAGTACCTGTGTCCCACTGTGGAGTTTTCCCTCATTTTTAAATCTCCTTCTCATACAGTTTTGGATTAGAAGATATGACCCAGGAGTCAGGGACACAACACAGGGATGTGAACAAACCATCCACCTGAGACACTTGAGAATCATCAATGACATCAAAGTCAATGTGGACGATCTGGGGGACACATTGGGGATCTCCCAATCAGGATCTATGATGGAATGATGCTCCTAAAGGCTGATTTAGAATCTTCAGACTAGAATATTCCTGGATGCTGTGAAGTCATTCCGATAATTCCTTATGCAACTTCCTGCTTCATTCAAGTGTAACTCAGCTCACTCACACAACCTGATTTAGCAGGGTTTAGATCTAATCCACTGACCTTTAGCCACTGGATGAAGGGATTTGGTCTTTCATTACCCATCTCTCTATGTCTCTACAGGACACCAACTTGATTCCTGATCACAACAAAAGACAATCTTTCTTTTCCTGATCTCATCATCTGCCGTACAGACTGCTGACTACAGTGGAGTTCATGTCTGTTCTCCTGTAAGGAGCTGCAGTGATGACTCCTTAACTGAGCTGTCTACTACCACTGTGTCCTGCTGAGTAACAGCTCTGTAAAACTGCCACTGCAGATCAGCTTGCACTTTCATCACAGATGGCAGGGGCGTTGAAAGGAGATGGGGAAAGCCGCACGGCCCATGTGAAACACAACGCAACGCTACCACACACACAGACACACACACACACACACACCCTCTACTACTCTCTTCATTCACAAGGCCAGCTCCATATCATGCTCTACATGGAGTTTTGAGAGCTGACAAAGCTGACAGAAACCGGTCTGCAGGAGAATCTGCCGGAAACACAGCACCGGTCTGTAAGTGCAGCCTGGGTGGAGTCTGCAATGGCATATTTTACAAAGAAATACCTGTTTGATCAGATGAAATACACACGGAGACACAGAGACGGGCTTTTATACAAACAGTTCCAATAGTTTCAAAAATGAGGGCACAGAGATAAAACAACAACATCTGAAAAAGTGACTTGTGAATGAATTACATATTCATTTGTCTAACGTTTAGATATTCACAGCAATATGATATGATATATAAGAAAAGTCAGGGTCTTTAAAAAAATAAAGGTTAAAAATATATATTACTTACTACTAATATTACTTAATATAACTTATTATAACTTCTGTTGAATCAGTTAGAAAACTAACAGTTGTTTGAAAGCAAAAAAAAAAAACTTTATTAGATGCAAAGGAGGCACGAAGTATTAGGTGATATACACTTTAAAGTAAGAAAATATTCACTTTATAAATAAATACTGAAACTTTACAGGTTTTTAAATTATTTTCCATTTTACTGTTGAGTTTTCTGTGCGTACAGCAGCTTTGAACGAGTGCACCATGTCTTTTGCGTTTGTCGTTCTTTGCATATCTTTGTGTGTATTTCACTGTGTATTCATGTCATTCTTGAGTACACACAGTCCCATACAGCCAATAATTGAAATGTAAAGAAAGAGCTTGTGGCTATAAGCTGACACAGGCACATCTGAAATGGCCCTGTGTATAGTTCTTTTTTTAAATAAAAGGAACATTTTTAAATGTTATGTTATACAACTTCATCAACTCGGTGTTGTCTCCAAAGGATTTGAAATTGATTTGATCTATTATTGTAAGTATCATATGTGATCTGTCAGAAAAGTAGTTGTTGTTATAGTCTTAGGTTCACTGTGCCTTTTGATTGGAATAATCTGCAGAAAGTCCTTTCCAATCAGGGACCAGACTCCCTGGACACCTTTCAATGGATTAAAAATGACTGATGACAGAAACATCTGGCTGCAGATGTTTGTCTGATCTCCCACAAATTCAGACAAACTGCCATACAGTCTTACAGTTATGTCTACAGGAACTGTACTGTAGGTGGTCCAAATTACTAAATAACCTAATCCTGCAACCAAAGAAAACCCACTCACTTAACAAGGTGGGTAATCATCTTGCACCAAACACACATTGTGTCATCAAATGTCTATAGTCCTGAGAGTCTGGCGATATGCAAAGGTTACATTTTTGAAAAAAATAAAATAAAATTATACAGTATATCCTGCATTTATAAATTATTTATTCAAAAATTTCCAAAGAAAATTTTTATTTACATGTTTTTATTGTGTGGAAAAATAATCATGCCGCCATTAGTTGCACCCCCTGGTGGCAGATTGCGCATCTCTGCATCTTACGCTGCAACAATTTCCTGCATTACACCAATTCTGTTAAAAAACACTTAGATATAACTATGCCTATTAGTTATGATCTGTTTATGTCGAAAAATAAGGCTGTCTCCAAATGACATTTTGCGAGCCCGATGTGGCCCACTGGCCGGGGGTTTGACAGCCCCTGCACTATTTACTTTGTCATAGGAATAAATATTGCACTAAATGATAAGGCTTTTTAAAGTGGTAAATAATCTGATGTCGTAATGCGTAAATCATAGTGTTTGGTAAAACACTGAGTGATGTCATGTTTTTTTTCCCTACGATCACAGGTAACAACAGTACGTTGATGAGCATGTACTGTAACACCTGTACCTGACAACCTGAGAGGCTTTGAAAACACGTCTGAGCTAAAAGATGTGTCACAAAGACACTGAGTCATCAGACCTGAAGTCACAAACACACTAATCATTAACCTCTCCTTTACGACGTCTGCCACACGAGGGCAGCAAGTGTGGACCGGACTCACCTGAGCTTAAGGTTGGCCATGAATTCTTCCATGGACACGTTGTCCAGGAGAACAAAGTCAGCTTTTCCAAACTCCCGACTTTCGTGTTCCGCCATGTTTTCACTCTTCTGGACACTTTTACTCCAAGAACAAACAAAAACAACCTAAAACTAAAATAAAAGTTGTCTCTTTTAACTTCTCTCTCTGCAGTGCCGGTGAAAGGTGATCATTGGGTGGTTCAACCTGAGCGCCTCCTCTCGGCAGCGGGCAGCTGTGCGCTTTATCCAAAGTCAAAGTGTAACTGTAGTCATGTTAAATTGAGCTCGATAGTCTTACAGAGTCTCCGATGGCAGATAAAGTCTTTCAGGTGTCCTGGTACACTCTTACGATCTACAATAACACCAGAATCCTCATCCACACAGAGTTTCCCTTTCTACGCCTTAAACCATCGCAGTCCTGTTGCATGGTGGTGCGCCACCTCCGTCCGTTTTCCTGAAGTCGAGTCTCCTGAGCTCTGCACCAATGGCAGAGGAGTGTCCTTCAGCAGTGCCCGCCCTCTCTGCCCGCCCTGCATGAAGGTGCTGGCCGTACAACTGCTCCTGTGTGTGTGTGTGTGTGTGTAACGTGAAAACTATTACAAATATTCCTGCAGACCACCGCAGCCGCTGAAGCCCTGCTACATATTTCAGCGGTGACGAGGCCACATCTTAGTTGAACAAACACTCAGGGGAAACCGTGGTGTCTAGCCCTGACGTTCCTGGTGCCCACTCAGACCAAAAAAGGGAAAAATTAAAGATGTCACACTTTGGAAGGGAATAAATGAGGAGCAGGGAACCCGAAGAGAGTTTTTATTTTATTTTCATTCAATAAATCGTTTTTAACTCCTTTATATGCAGCTCGTACCATGTGAACAGTTACTTCTGTGTCCTAGTAACATGTTGAGTCTGGGCTCCAGAAGCAGCTGAGCATCAGAATCACACTTTTACAGAGTTATCAGCGAACTAACAATGCTGTTAGGGCATCCTCTAGTGGCCAATTGAACGAAACACATCTGCTATGCTTATATTAAAGGTCAATTAATCGCTTGGTTACTGAATATTTAAATATTTCTGTTCACATATCTAAGTTCTCAGGTCTTTTATTTTATATATATCTTTTTGTAAATGTTATTTGTAAATCTAGTTTTAAGGCCAGAGCAATCGAGTTTGGTTTAGCCTTCAAATTTAGCTTTTGTTGTCTTTTTTATTGTAAAGAAAAGATGCCAATTAAATCCCACTGCAAAGACCAATCCTCCAATTATTATTAGTGCACCCAGAAGATAACATATTTATCCGAAATTCTCCCCAGTGGAGTTTTTGTAGATTTTTTCTTTTAAAACAGTTGATGTAATAATGTTCTGTGCATTTTTAATTCCCCTGCAGTAAAAAAAACAAAACAAAAGAAAACAACTTCTCTGTTGCCTTTCACATTCTCTTAATCTTATCTTCACGTCTGCACCACCCACATTCTATTGTGTCAGGTATCTGAGAACATTATTATTAAGATAAGCTCTTTTTTAAATATATATACAAAACCTCCTTTTTAGGTACCAGCATATCTTTGAATATTGTTATTGTAATCTTTGAAATGCCAGCCAACAGCTAACTGATGTTTGTTTTCAAAAGAGACCATAAATGTTTTAAATGTATTTTTCTTCTTCAGACTGGGTCATGTCATTACAGAGTGCTACAAAAATGACATTTGTTTCCTTCGTGAATGAATCACATCTGCAGCTGTAGAATATTCGCTGTTTGTCACAGCAGGTAGTGATCATCAGCTCCGTGGATGTCCCCACATCACCCTGAACACAGTCACACCACAGCTTCAGCTCAGCCTGGGGTAATAAATAAACAAGAAATGAAAGCATGGAACAGATCTCCAGTAACATGACATGAATATGGAGTGGTTTTAATGTGTTCTATTCTCTTTACGCTCACTGTGGCAAAAAGCTCAGCACATTTGTCTGTGTGAAACAGCTGGGGAAACCATGTCAGACTTCAATGTTCAGGCTTCACTCAGATTTGTGATTTTGCTATGGGGGTGGGGGGGGGGAGTCTTTCAATGACTAAATGTTAAACTGCATAAACATTAACAAAATAAACTTTACATAACGACCACATAATTAACTAGGAGGAACAGCAGCTTCTTAAACCTTATGCAGTTTATAGAAAAAAAAACTTTACACAGTTCCCACTTTCTCCTGGTGTTACTTTTCACACAATTTGCGAACATCGGCTTTGTATGGTAGAGTGATTAAAGTTGGTAGAGAGCAACAGAAGGACAAAAGTGTGTTCTTTCTGTACTGTTATAACAAAAATACATTTGTGTGAGGATTGCACCTCAAAAACAGTCTTCGACAATGGATTTACTTTATAAATAACATACAAATGTTATTGTTATGTTATATAAATTTAATCAGATGAGGGAAAAACGAAAAGAATTGGATAAAGTACAATTCTTATTATTTTTATTTTAAACAGACACCTAATAAGTATTTTGAATACACAGAACAATCCCCCATTAAAAAGGACTGTTTCATCAAACAGACCACTAGAGGGCAACGACAGTGATCTAAATAAGTTAACGTGCAACTACACAATAGAAACAAACACATTAATCACAATAACCTTTTTTCCTCATAATAATGCAGACAATCAAAAAGAAGAAATAATCCTAACATTAAACCACTGGTTTCCAAAATGGGGGGCATGGAGCTATAGCTGCAAATAAATCATGTCATTATTTCTTTAAACAAAATCCGGTTCCCTCAGCTGTACACACAAAAAAACACACACACTGTGCCACACTTGTATTTACTATGTAAATAAGCCTGACTGCGTCGTTTGTTGCAAACTTTGTCAAGTGAATTTAATGAGCCGTCGTCCACCTAATGAGAACAGAGTTTTCAGGGAACATACAGAGTGACTCTCCGCTCTAGACCGCACACACCGACAGAGTTTGTTACCCCCCATTTTTCTTTCTAATTGTCATTTCAAAACAAAACAGTAACAATAGACTTTTCAGATTTTTTTGTATGTTATTTTAATTTTTGTTTCTGTGGCTACACACAGAGGTCGTTGTGTGGTGACTGCATGTAATTGGAGGAGAAAGCAAACAGAGAATGGCTGATGCCATTGCATCGACCCTTTACTCCTGTAAATCCCTATTAAACCCTTATTTATCAGTCGCTTCTTCATTTATTATGAATGACCGCAGCGATTGTCTGGGACTATGAAGACATCTTTGTTGGCCGCGGTCCAGAGAGAGGACATTATCAGACGAGCTGTCCTCTGGCAGCATCATAGAGGCTGAGATCTTTAGACTCTCCAGTGATTGAGAGCAGAAACTGACAACCGAGTCCCCTGTGTCCTCAGCTCAGAAAACTGCAACTGGAAAAGCTGTCGACAAACTGCTCAGGGATTTGTCAGCAGATAAAGTTCATGATGTGGTCACTTCCCATCTTTTTATTGACTTTTATTATGCTGGTATGTGAATTGTTTTATTTTGGTTGAAAAGCTGCGGAACTGTTTGGAGTCTGTTTGGTTTTCTTCTCCACAATACCAGTCATGTGGACTGCAGGCAGGCCAGTCAGGCAGGTGTACACCACGTCAACAATGCATGATGAAAAAAAGGGGGAAGATGAAAAAAACTGGGAGAAAGGGAGAGAATATGTGTGAAGAAAAAGGAGGAGTCAGTGAGATATTTGCTCTGTTTTTTACTGTTGGCTTTTATACAAGGGTTCAAGTGAATTCACCAAACCACAGAAGAACAGTAGCAGTTTTTTAAAATTTGTATCATATTTACAATATATACAACCATTTCAGTCACACAGTGCAGATATAAAAATAACCTCTTACACAATGTCAGATTAAGATCAATTAAAAAAACAAAAGAAACTTGTTCATCTTTAAAACCCATGGACCTGGATCACGTTTGTAGTTTACCAGCACCTCCACTTGAACTGTCTCCTGTGGTTTTCCTACCTCCACTGAAATCTGCTAAGAGCAAAAAACATCTTTGGCCCTGCGGTCTTGTAGTCCTCTGATAAGAATAAGTTCGCTTTGAAAGCAAACAGATCAATCCTAATTACATTATGTCCACTACGAAATTCATGACAAGATAACAACACTTAGGTTGTCTTTTGGACTGACGTATGAAAAGTATTCACCACGTTACACGTTTGTTCAAACCTACAGACTTTTACAGTATTTTAAATATAACAATGCAACAGGCGTATTAGTTCTTCAAATACTTCAAGTAATTGCAAAGAAAAGCTTTTTTGGGTGATGCCACTACGTTGGGGCTTAGGTGGTGCTCCTTCACAGAAGACAGGATGTGCACCATGCTCAACTTTTCAACAACTGTTCTCTCTGTTTAAAACCTCATCATGCTCCTCTTTCAACATTTCTGTTACAAATGCATATATTGCAAAATATATATGAATATATTTTTTTAAGTGAGCCCACATCTGTCTTTGTTCCTTCTTTTCACTCAGATATGTATTTTTAAGAATCCCCAAGGCATGCTGGGAGCTCCTTCCAACTCTTCTCATCTGCTCCTCTTTACACATAAACACATTCAAACTGTATTTTAGCAACATTGGTTGGATGACAGTGTTAAACGCTTGTAACTGTTTCCTATCCTATATTTTCTGATGAAGAACCCCAAGTGTTGGGAGTGCAAACAGAAAGAAGCTAAAAGCAGAGTGTTCCCATATGAGCAAACATCAACAGGGCAATAACACCACCTCTATTCTGGAGGCTTTTCAGGCTTGGAGCACTGATTCTGGAAGACATCTTCACTTGGCCGTCCTGTAGTTGCTCAGGTCCAGGGGCTCCTTGCTGGGCACACACCAGTCGTCTGCCTCCTGACTCACTTTGTAGTTCTTTAATGCGGTTTTGTTGTACACAGGCAGCCTCTCGATGGAGTCTGTAGACAAGGCCTGGAGGAACAGGAAAGAATGGAACTGGTATCAATAATTGTCAGCAGGTGTGTTCTACAAAAAGACAAAAGCAACACATAATATTTACTCACTCATCTGGGTTTTGTTTTAACACTGCAAAGGTTTCAGGGCTGTCCAAGTTCATTTTAGGTACATTTGATCAAATACTGGAACTATCTTTACCATTTTATATATATAGTATATATGCATACTCCAAATCTGTATATGTATAGATGGATGTAGACTAAATTAGTTTTTTATATTTGAAATGAAGAATATTTGTTGTTGACATCAAAAATATAGTTTAAAGTGCCAGAGCTTAGGACTCTCTATAGAGGTATAAAATATTTGCCCGATACACTGAACCCTGTAGCATCCTGTCACTGTCATGTATAAAGCCGTGCCTGACTAACAGTACCTTCAGGTAGATGACTGCATCGGTGCCAAAGCCCTCCATGGAGTACAGCTGCAGGTCTCCCTGGAAGTACTTGGCATAGAGACGAGAGATGGGCAGACCGTAACCGAAGCCAGCCTACATGAGAGGAAGAGGATCAGGACAGTTGGACAGATATGTCTCTCAGAATGTAGGAGGAAATGTCTGACCCACAGGAATGTTGTGGTACATGGACAGGAGTGATGTGTCTAAGAAACCAGTTATTCCTGGGTGGATCACATTTAATTCCACTGTCATTTAATCAATGACAACTGTTCAGTTGTTTTAGCTTCATCACATGAGGAGAGGTTTTGAGCGCATTCAAAACCTCTTGTCAGGTTTGCTGTGCATATTGTTATCTTTATAGAGATTTAATAAAAGTTTTCACCCTTTAAAATAACAGGGAGTCAAACAAGACAAATGATGCTGCTGCTTATAGACTGCTCTACTTACCAGGGGAGGCCGAGTGTGATCTCCTATCTGTGGAGCAGGAGCAGTGGAGTACATGTAGCTAAAGAGGTTCTCGATCCTGCGAAATGGGACACCGCCGCCCTTATCGCTTACCTACAGAGAGGGAGACAGAAACAGAGAGGTGAGATCGTAAAGACCCGAGAGGTTATAGCAAATAAGCAAATGCAGACCGGGAGATTTACACCTGTTACAAAGCTGCTCTGCTCAAGCTAGCGCATAGCTAGTACACGTTTATTAATAATTTTCTTATGCTAAACAATTGTAATACACATCGAATAGTGTACAAAAGTAAGAAAATACATTCTAAATAAACAGCAGACTTTAGCCGGAGTTTGACTTAACTATATTTACTATACTGACTTACAGGGGTATGAACATAGTGACAGGCGTCACAGTGTGAACACGACACAGACCATGCATGTAGCTATTCTTAACACAGCTTTATAAAGTTGCACTTCACTGCTGGTGAAACAGTTACATAAGGATCAGAGAGGTTTGGGTGTCGATATAAAGAGATAAACAGGCTGATACATCACTATGACAGTGGAGTCAAACACTTTAATTAGTGCACGGCTGATTGGAGGTTTGACGCTCCATCGAACACGCACACTTTAATCTACCTGCTAATAACGTGCAAACATCGAGGGAGGAAATAATCTGCATTATCACAAAGCCAACTTGAAAAAAACAAAATCTAAGCAACAAGCTTCTGTTTTCGTCCTGGTTACTGTGGGGATCTAAAATTAGAAGGTGTTATGCGCCTTACATATCATGAAGTCCTTCGAGACACATTTTTGGGGCCTGTGAGATCCTTGTCTACTAGAATAACTAGTTACTAGTTTTCATCCTTTTGCAGCTGCCCTGATGCAATCCACAATGTACCTTGATTGACATGTCCTCTCCACCCAGAGACACCAAGACTTTAATTGGTGGGAGGTGGTTGCTGTTTTCGTGCGTCTCAATGGTGGCTCTCATTGCGTTCTGAAAAGTAAAAGTAACATGATGTAAGGAGCATCAGAGAAGTTGGTTTGACGTGATGTGAACACGACTATGTACCTTAAAGAGCTCAAACAGCATGTGATAAAGATGAGAGGGAACGTAGACGATGTTGGCTGAATGGTTCTTATTCTTGTCTGTGAAAAGGAGCGGAAACAAAGTTGCGGTTTACTCAAAATTCAACATTCATCATCCCCGACACTCGAGTGTGTTTTCGTCTACCGCTGGCAATTATTCTCCTCTGGATTCACTTCACGGCTGGTGATGATGGACAGAAGGGTCAGTGTGTCAATATTGTCTGACGCAGTCACTGGGCAATTACTTCAACTTGAATGCTTTAATTAGAAACCCATCAAATGCATCTGGTTGAAGCCTAACTCACTTGAGGCCACTCAAACTGTATGTATACACAGAGGGGCCTCTCTGTGTTTGGTGAGCATTTAAAACCTCTATATCAGAATATTGTCATCGATTGTTGCTGCCTCCAGGTGGACTATGGTCTGCTGACTCACGGTACTTTGAACTTACAGTTCATTTCCTGCAGATCCAGATCAGGAGAACAGAGATAGTACTGGTCGCACAGCATCTTGGCACTGTGAAAGGCATCTGACCAAACAAACAGAAAAGAAAAGTTGTTAGAACGTGTTGTCAAATCAAAGGTACAGTTTGTTCTGATAATTCTTAATGGGCCACTTTGAGTAATAGTGTCTCCCTTATCTACAGGGAGGCTGCCCTCTGTCTGTCTGAAAGTGTTAGACATGTGGTGTGGGGAGGGGGGCCAAGGATCAGCTCACTACAACAGAAGTCTCCCTGTGCTTTTTAGAAAAACAACATTCCTCAGAAAAGAATGTTTTTGATTTGTTACTTGTAACATGCAGTAATACTCACCCTGTACTACATCGCTGACTTGACAGTGAGGCTCGATGCTGCCAATGGTGTTGGGGTGAACAGGGTTGGTGGTGCCGTCAAAGATCAGAGCTAAAGAAAGATATACAGTAAGTTAATACAAAATATCTGTGTAGATTTTCAGTCATCCAGGTCATTTAATCCAATAATAGTTACACCGAGGGCAACTGAAGGAAGAAGTTTTTTTTAAGACGTTTCACCTCTCATCCAAGAGGGCTTCTTCAGTTCTGACTGACCACTGGGAAGTTATGGTATTTAGAGGCACAAAATACCTGCAGCTACCTTAACTGAGCCTTCTCCAAAGCCACCAAAACCAGAAGAACAGAGAGGAAAACGGTAACAAATGGAACAACCTTGTCATTCCTTATGTTGCCGGGACATCCGAAAAACGTACAAGAAGTTTTAACCATCACCAAATTCCTGTCCATTTTAAACCCACCAACACCCTCAGACAAAGACTGGTTCATCCAAAGGACTAAACACCTCACCACAAACAGAGCAACGTTGTATATGCAGTACAATGATGATCTGGAGAAACCATCCCTCAACAGAGGAGGGGGTTTGAGACACGACCATATTAAGTTCTACTTAAGTTCTCTCCCCAAAAAATTCAACCCCCTCCCTGAAAACAAGACCACAGTTTTATTTCAAAGACACCAAGTCAAAAGTGTTGCTCAGGTGAAACTATTATTCCATAGCTATGGTATCACCCCCCATTCACACCTCTAAACTTGTGACTTTACATTTTGCCCTCCTTAGAATAAGGTGGCTTTCACCACACCTCCATCCCCCCTTTCTGCAACGACCCTCGTTACAGGTATGTAGCCCCCTGAAGGCTAAATACCAGAACTTCCCAGTGGTCAGTCAGAACTGAAGAAGCCCTCTTGGATGAGAGGTGAAACGTCTTAAAAAAAATCCTACTTTGTCCAGTTGCTTTCCATGGAACTATTTTTGGACTAATACAAAATGGTATTATACTGTATAAGTATTTAGTGCTTATTGGTTAAATCCACTGATGCAAATGTGTTCATGGTTCGGGGACTAAACAAATAAAATTGACTTGACTGACACTACATGTACCGTACGATTCAGAATGTTAGGGCTGCATTCACAAATTAATTCAGAAATAATAAACTGGAGGATTGTCAAACCAAACACACGTGGTTAAACAGGTGAAATCAGAGAAATCTGTTTAAATTTATCAGGACAAGTCAAAATAGTCACTGATGAATAGTCGACGTCCACATGGATAAATAATAAATCAACAAAGTGAAGAATTCTGTTGTACACAACTCTATGGGTATAGATCAGGAATAGCACGTTTGTTTGTGTGTGTATGGGCAGTATTAGATGCTTCACTGCCCCAGCACTGATATGTATCAACAGTGGTTGTTTCACATGACTGGCAACAACTCTGACATATCACTGTTGTCAGTGAATCCATATCTGATTCAAAGCTCAGAAATAAAGGCCATGTCATTATTTTTGGCGACACAAGTAAACAAGATGACATCAAGATTATTGTCCCAAAAAACACTTTCTGAATGGAAAGAAAGGATCAGCCCGACCAAGCAGAATAAGAAACAAAAGAAAATAGAAGTGAGCTCCACTCACTGTGCTGGTTGATGAGCATACGGATTGAAATGCGACTCATGTAGAACCGATCCAGAAAATACTGAATGTTCTGGTTGGTCACTGGATCCTGGGGGAAGGCCCCTTTGTACTCAATGATGCCCTGTGCCATAGTTGGCACGACATCATTGTGTCTGTTCCTGATTGTAACCAAGGCGTCAACAAACCTTAGAAAGATGGAGAAAAGGGAAATCTACAGTCAGAAAAATGGTTATGTAACAAGGAGAACAGTAAATGCCGTCTGGACAGAACTGAGACGCAAAACAAAAAGTTCATTTCCAGTTGGATTTTGAAGCCGAAAAAAACCAAAAACCCTGACTTGAACTGTACTACCCATATCTACAGCCTTTTTTATAACAGGCAAATAGATCAGTGGACAGCAGCACTAAAAACTTACTCTGCCAGGACCTTGTGGTCATCAGGGTTCTTTTCTAAGAAATCCAGGACCTCCAGTAGACTCTGGATGTACCTGTGAAGATGACATATAAACACACACACTTTCAACAACGGCTGATCTGCAGGAATAGATCTGATCATCAATACCAGGGCCTACACATGCTTCCTTTCTTAGACTGAAAAGACAGCCAGCCCCTGTTAACAACAACATCACGTGACACGCAACTGAAATCTAGGGTAAAGTTCACAGCTGACGGCACCTTCCCCCACCAACACGGGGTGATGCAGGAGGGGCTAAGACTGTGGCTGTGCTGCGCTTATGATTCTGAGCGTGATGTTCACACTGGAGGAAATTAAACAATGCTACCAGGCGACAGTGGTTGACGGCTATGGACGTTTATGTCTTTGACATTAGAGAGGACAGAGGCTAAAAATGACTATTATTTTCCTTCTCAATGGGAAGGAACCCAATGATACTTAGATAGAATCACAATAACAATCTCAAGTTCCTCAGTTATTACCATCGATGACTAATTCATCCCTGTTTGGTTTGGACTTACCAGCTCTGCACTATCTGTACTGATGGGGTTGACAGCAGTTTATCTGGCAAGAGGTTGATTTCCTTCATAATGTTTGAAAGTCGCACCGGGAGCTCCTGCCTCAGGAAGACAAAAGATGTCTTTTCACAGGCATTGATGGAACCTGAATAAAACACAGGAACAGTGCTGCTAATATCAAAGCTTTTCAATGATGACATAATTAAAAAAAAAATTCAAGGAAACCCCATAATTTGACCTTATTTACAACTGATTAAATAAGACACACGTGCTGTTATTATTTGCACACTACGGACTATGAACATTACATAATATGATTTATAGCATATAACAACATGTATGATAGTGTTATTACTCAACAGCACACCCAGGTGTGGCCCACATAGCTAAGGTCACCACTCACAGCTCCTTACAGACGGTTGAAACTTGCAGGGGAACCCAACATGTCTGTACACTTGGTCAGGACTAAAATCATGCCTGGTGTATTTTGTCAAATGTGCATGACATAGATTTCAGTAGTATGTGCAGACGTGTAGTGCAAATAAGTGTCCTTGCAGGGCCCGGTCAGCACAACACAGCTACACTGAGCTGACGCAACTCTGTGCCGTATGAACACAGTGGCTCCACACTGATGTTCGAGACCTGCCTCTTTCCACCATTCTGCATTTCATTTCTGCTCCCACATAAATATCTCCTTATCTTTATGTACCAACACTTTTTAATGGTATCACCAATCGGGCAGATCAGCCGGATCTATACTCACCAAAATCGAGAAACTGCTTCATGGAGAGCGGAGAGGGGGAGAATTTGGAGAAATGCTCGATGTGTTTGGGAACGCTGGCCAACGCAGCGTTCTTCATGATGAACCTGACCAACTTCATGGTTCCTTCAGCTCTCTGTGGGTCCACTAAAGTCCGTTACCGAGGCTCCGTCCAAGTTGTCACGATTAATCGAACCTGTTAACATGCCTTTGAATGCGGACTGAGGGAAACAGCCTTGGTTATCCACCAAGGTCCAGCCTATCACAGCCAGCGCCTGTCTTTATTTACGTTAGCGCTTGGCCAATAGAAACCTCCGGGGGCGGGTTTAAACAGATTGGGTTTACACAATGCACAAGCTGCAACCGCCATAGTGGCGAGTTGCATAATAATAATAGTTACAATAATGATAACAAATAAGAATAAAAATGATAATGTCAATAAGAAGAACAAGAAAGAGAGTTGCACTATTACATAAAATATTCTTACTTGTACGGTTTTTTATTTTGAGTGAAAAAAAGACAAAAATACTTCCTAACTGAGTAAGAAAGAGTACAACAAACAATCTAAAACCCCACTATAATCACCCTGTCCTCTTAAACATGACATGTGTGGCATGTGACATGCTTTGTGCAGTACAACTTGTTGCAGTACAAAGTGTTGCAATGTGAATTGCTCTGCCAATTTAGCTGACGTCCAGTCTCATGTTATTGCTGTCCTGTCAGTACCAGTATTAGTTCTTGGAACTGTGTTAGAACGGTCTGCAGCTGCCTTTGAGCACAGGAATCATCCACCTTTAATTTGTCATGATGACGGGTGTGGCTGATGGACACCACAGAGTCAGAGGTTGGAAAGTGTGTGGTTTAGTCCCAACTTCATTTGAATGAGTCAAACAGCCTCATCCCCTGGAAGTCCAGTGCATTCAAACTGGGTTTATAGATCCCCCTGCATTTGCTCAGTGCAGTTGAAGACAAATATTGAGACGTTTGATCATAAGGCCTTCAAGGCAGTTGATTTATTATATTTGTATTCAGTTTTGGCTGGATGATAACGCAGTCAGTCAACCTCTGGCATCTGTTAACACCTGTCCCTCCTGGGGGACAGGAGTCCACTGTCTGCATCTGAAAGATAGAACCAGAGTCACCAGAGGTTTTGAGGAGACAAGCCTCTGTCTCGACTCCAGGTCAAATTTCTCATTATGTAAGCAGCGACTAAATCAGAACAGTTGAGATGGCGTTTGCTGCTTATCCGGCTGTGCCATGAACACATGAGTTGGCAAAATTCCTGGTTTCAAGTGGCAAACAGGACAAGCCTGAACACTGAACTCTGCACACCATAAAAACATTGTGGTTCATTTTAACTGTGAATTCCTGCAGTAAGTCTGCAGACTGAGAGATTCTAAGACATGGTATTATTACTGTTATTCCTGTGTTCTTGTTTTTTGCTTGTGGCCATGGCCTGAGTCTGAAGTACTTTAGAGAAAACCTGTGATGCAACAGCGTCATGTCTGCCAACCAGGGCGAGCTTTGTTGTCATTCAGGCACATGTGGAAGACAGAAGAAACAGAAAGACAAGGAGGTAATGTAGCACTGGAGGATTACACAATACTCAAGACACACACACACACACACACACACATGCATTACATGCAGTTAATCACTTACTATATTAACCTCTTAATTTAATGTTAGTTTAATTTAATTTAATCTATTAATACCTTTTTAGTACACAAGAGAAATAGGACTGTCATAAACACGACTTTAATTATCTGGGAAAAAATTATATTTTGGGATGAAAAATTCTAAGCAAATTCTATTAATGAAACTTTGTATACAAAAGACAAAACAAAATGTCAAACTACTGTCCCAAGAATCTCACTATACTGAATTACTTTGGGTGTGAAGTAAAAAAAACAAAAACAAAAAAAAACAGTAAAAGACATTTTGAATGCATTCAATTTGGAATATTTCTAAAGCAGTGTACTAGATAAGAACTATATAAAAACTGTGATAATAAAACGGTATAACTGTGATATGCAGTACTCCCTATAATGTGTACTGATGATTTTTTTGATCTGAAAATGATTCTCCATATATAAAACTTCAGGCTGTTGTTGCTGTGGAGGCCAGGGAGTGCTTCTTCTTGGGTGGGGGCTGGAGGCTCTACAAGGGGTGTAAAGTGGAGTAAAGGGTTTGAGGGGGGAAGGGGTCACCTGTTTGTTAGCCCCAGTACTTTTCCAGTGTCCTTTTTCTCTGGACAACTCCAATCCCTCTGGTGGTCAGTCTAATTCCACTCCCCCACTGCACCCCTCTCCCCTGTCACTGTATGGTATGACAGGCATGTACTGTAGGTTTGGGCGCCATGATGGGTCAAAAATGGGACAACAAGTCCTGTGGAAATTTCCCCAGCATGGGGCTTGGGGTTAAGGGAGGGTGTGTGTGTGTGTGGGGGGTCAGGGGGTTCAATGAGCCATCAGTCTAGACTGCTGCTTAAGTCGGAAAGTTCTGAATATTTTGAACCTTCAAAATGTTTCATTGAACCCCGTTCCTTAAATGATATATTTTTCATCAGTGCCATGAAAAGGCTAACGAATAATTAATCAAGCACAATTCAGTTTCTCTGTTCGTTTGTCCTGTGCAATCACAGTAGTATTCAATGTGTGAAGAGTTTTAAAACACTTGTAATTATTATCTATGAACTATGAAGAAAATGCTGATAAGACAACAAGAGGAGAAATACAAGAAGGAAACAAAGACACAATCAAAGAAAAAAAAAACTCAGAAACTTTTCAATAGAAACAACATGGTTTGACCAGCATCTTCTAGAAACATTATTATGTAATGACTATCAGTAAGAATTAGGGGTTAGAGGGAAAAGAGTGTTCAAAGTATATGGCAGATACATGTTATGATAATAGCTAAAATAGTTCAGGTTAGGAAAAAATATATGTCTGGAAATGCTGCTAGTGAACTCAAACTCTTAAAATTATTCAAGAAATAAAGTTAACAAAGAAAATAGTTTAAATTTAGTCAAACAAAAACCTTTTATTTAGCTCTCAGGGTTATGTTAGCCAAAGTAGCATGGAGTTCAGGTCGGCCAGAAGAAGTTAACAATTACAAACAGCATTGACATCACACAAGATGAACCAACCAGTCATTTCTGATCATAATTTAAGCTAAGAAATAAATACAGATTCAGCAAAGAATAACAAACAATAACAGTAAAAAAGTGGCATGGAATTTTTCCACTGTATTAGTTTATTCTAATTAAAGGAAACGTGGCCTGAGTTGCCCTGTACTGTTTGTGGCACATTAATAGTGTTATAGTAAATGTAAAGTTATTGTAGACAAAAATCAAATACCTGATATTACTGTAGTACAACACTTGAACCTTTCAGCTTTCTATGTATTGATTACGCAGCCGTAGTCACTGTTGATGATTATTGGACAGGAACAGACTTTAAACCTCATCGTTGAAGTGACATTTATATTCTATGTTGTATTGATTTGTAACTAAAATTGCATTTCAGGAAAGAATAACTGTACACTCCCTCTCTGAGCTGAGAGTTATATAAGACAGTACACTCCTGACATTTGGAGAAACATTCCCTTCGTTCTTCATCCTTCTCTTTGGACACAGTAAATACAGGCTGGTTGCATTAAACATTAGTTTAAAACATTGGTGAACAGACAGCCTACACATTGACCTGTGAATGTTACCTGAATGTCATTTGTCAGCACAGATAAGTGACATGGCATTGAATGTTGAAAAGTGGAACTTATTTGTTGTCATCAAAAATAATAATAAAAAACTCTTGACCTTTTTTTGGTTTTTCATTTCCTGTCTGTTTGCATCATTTCTTTTACAACAGTTCCCTAAAGGCAGTGGAGTGATGGTGTTTCTTTTTCTTCTTCTTACTGTATTTTCTTAGTCAATCAGGTTTCAGAAGCAAACTGAATTAAGAGCAGCAGAAACACATAAATAACAGAATATATGAAGAAAACTCTTGATATTACTGTAGGAACTGTTTTATTAGATAAGTCTTTTTCTGTTTCCATTTTTTTGTATGTTTTTTGTGGAGGTTATTTATCCACCAAGACAGTAGTGTTGCTGTGTACTCCGTGATCCAGACTAAGCAATTCTATTTCATTTAAATGTAAATAACATTACATTTAAACATGACTTCAATATAATTGATTTACTATTGTGTAACAGACTAGATGTTTCCCAAAGCAGGGATTTGAAAACAAATTCAAAACAAAGCACAGGTCATTTGGAGATAAAGTTCTTAGAATGTAAAGATTCACCTGCATAAATGCATTATCACTTTTATTTCCTAAAGAAATACTGCTCATGAGTCAGCACTGTGGAAAAAAAGGGCATGGACAGGTGTTAGGCTTCACTGGATACAAAGAAGACAACTGATTCAGACACAGACCAGAACACTTGCCTTATAAGAAAACCATGGCTAGTTTATTCTGGTTTGAGTCACAGTATAATTAGTTAGTCACTGTTCATATAGGTGTGAAAGTTCATTCATTTAGCCTTGCAATGTAATGGATGACTAAATTAATCATACAAAGTTGCTGGTTTAAGTGGTCGCTGTTACATTGTATTTGTACTGATATTTTGTGCATTGTGAAGGCAAAAGCAAGTTCCAAATGTACAACTGGGTTATGTTTCATTTTTAATTTTCTTTCATGTGTTGGTAGTGATCTAGAACAGGCATAAATATGCAGAAAATACAGAATACCAAATAATAATAATAATAATAAGAAATGACGGAATACCGTTGCCCTGCGCTTTAAATGCACCTAAGCCGCGTCTTTGTTTAAGTTGCAGTGATCCTTTGTTGCGTGTCAAGGCTGGAGGTAGTGCAGACACGCTATTCCCGCGACATCATCATCAGTATCATCATCATCATCATACTCCTCCTCCTCATCATCCTACACCAGTGTGGAGCTCCACGGTGTGCGCTGATGTGTGAGTGAGGCTCAGTCCTGCACAAGAGCAACTCCAGGCGGCGTGCTTGTCTCTGCCACAGGAGCTCAGGAGGAGACAGGAGCGGAGGACCGGACAAACAGCAGGCTTTCATCGGGACGCAGCGGGGACATAAGGCGCTTTTTTCCTGAAGGGTGATCACCGCCCAGCATGCCTCTATGCCCAGCGATGGCATCCATGGATCGATCATCTGGAGCGTGTGAGTTATCATTTCATGTTTTGTGCAGCGTCTTACATTACAATGTTGGCTGCTGTGAT